TGTTAATGAGGGTGGTGGTGGGGAGGGGGATGAAAAATTGTATTGTTAATAATTTATTATGGAAGCCTTTTCGAATTCAGTGTCTGTTCAGCGAATTTTGAAGTTCAGGGAAAGATTTGAATAATACCTCGACGTTCAATAAATTAATTTATGAGATAAACTTAAAAAAAAAAATGTTTTCAGGAATTTACTTAATGAATAGTTACTAATTTAATATACTAATATATTGGTATAAGGTGATTCTTCTCCTCCTCCCCCCGTAAAGAAGAGTAAATGAATTAATAGTAGATATATAATAAAGAAATTGTTTGGGGTATATAATAACATAATGTGAAGTATAATAACACAAGAGCAAAACTTTTTTAATTTATATTGATATCATAAAAATATTAATGAACCGAAGAACCTATATACATTTACTACCATACATTATTGTGGTACGGAAAATAACGCAGGATTATGAGTTTTCTTTAAAATACCTCTCTACATAACAAACTGTTTACTGGATTATTCATTTGTATTAATGTCAACATTTATTAATCCTTCTTCAAACAATAATATTTTTTTACTTCTATAGCATTTCGCTGCTTAGAAATAATTTAGTCTTTACTAAGATGTCAACGCGTGATTTTCGTATAATTTTGTTTTACGAGTTTAAACTTGGCCGGAATGGGGTCCAGACGGCCAGAAACATCAATCAAGTCTGAGGTGGGAGCAGCATTAATGAGTGCACTGTTCAACGGTGGTTCAAAAAATTTCGAGAGGAAGGCTTAAGCCTTGAAGACAAATAAGGTCGAGAAAGGACTTCATCTCTTGATGACGATGTTCTGCGGGTTTGTTGAAAGAAAACCCCAGAACAACTGTTCGAGAACCTCGATGACCTCTTCAAGGCGTTTCGAAAGGTAAAAAAAACTCGAATGTTGGGTTCCACACACATTAAACGACCACAAAAAAAAAAAAAACAGCGTTATGAAGTTTCTTTGCCGAACACTTCTATGCCGAAACAAAAACGACTCTTTTCTGCCCAAATTGTTACATGTGATGAAAAGTGGATACTTAACGATACAACTAGACGCTCTGGACAGTACCTGGACAAAGCAGAAGCAGCAGAACATTTTCCAAAGCCCGTCCAACTCGTCAAAAAAAGATGATAGATACCCGTTTGGTGGGCTTCATTTAGTTTGATACACTAAAGCTTCTTAAATCTTACAGAAACCGTAATGTGACCATATCAATGTAATGCATCAGAAATTGGCAATAATGAAGCTATCTTTGGTCAATCGGAAGGGACCCATTTTGTTGCATGACAAAATCCCGTCATATGTCTCACGTGTGACGTCAGAAAAACTGTTGGAGCTTTAATATGAAACTGAGCCACATCAGCAGTACACTCCGGACCTCTCGCCTACGGATTATTATTCTTTTAGACACCTGGACTACTACTTACGTGAAAAATAATTAATGGACAAAGGGAATTAGAAAGTGCATTTTTGGAGATTATCAATTCTAAAGATGGCAAATTCTATTTCGAGGAAACGGAAAAGTTGCCAACACGTTGGCTGAAATTTATTAAAACCGTTGAAAATTTTCCTGTTTAAACCAAAACTCTGCAATACTTTTCGGACAACCCAATATGTAGCAAAAGTGTTTGATTTTTAATAGATGCCATGATTAAAGTGCAGTTTAGATGTTTTGAGCGTAATTATCCGAAGGGACACAAGAGATCGCCAAAGACAAGAATCTACCCTCCCCCAAAGTAGGAAGGGCCGAAGGAAATACTGAAAGGCATAAGCGTCAAGGGCGGAGTAGTCATGCGGAAGGTTGAAGCCTCCTCTGAGGCTCAAAGCATTTTACCAGATCGGAGCCAGGCCCTTATTGGGTTCCAATCTTAGGGCCTCTTCATGGTGTCCAACAGTTCAGAATGATCAAACATTCTTTAAAACTATCCTGTCTGCTTTGTACCATCAGGTATCTGGAAATATAAATATCCTGTAGGTCGCCAAAATATTAAAATGTTTAAAGATAAAGAATTGAAAAACAACTGTGTGAATCAATAAAAACTAGAGAAATTGGATACGTTCATTTCACAGTTTAATTAAATCAAGCAATAGGTTGAAACGATCTTCCTAACTCATGAAAGTTTAACGCATATCATCAAAAAAAGAGCACAACATGCTGTTTATTTATTTTGTAAAGAAGAATTTAGTGGAGGATGGAGTAAATATATAATATACTATATTACATAATAGTACTTTTTTAAATCTTCCAACGTTTCGATCTACGTTGTAGGTCTTCTTCAGGGCGTTCCATACGAGACAGTCTCCGGACTGCTTTCGGCAGTGCTAAATGGAACGCCCTCAAGATCTGACATTAGAACCTATGGCCAACCATATTACACCATGATGTTTACTTTTGCTCGAACTTTGTCTGAACCTATTTTTTAATAAATCTCTGAATCCGATTAACTGGAAAGGGAAACCAAAGGCAATTGATTTATATTCTCCAAGTAGTATATGATTCCATGTTAGCCGAAATTAGATAAGTAAACTATTTATTTGAGTACTTAAAGTATCTCCTTTGTAAGTAAAAGACATAAAATTCTGAGAAAGCATGGATGAAGCATTGAAATACTACAATCGTTATTACAAATTAAACTATCACATAAATCTAAAAATTCCTAATTATCTAGCAAGATAATTTAAATAGTAAGATATCCTAAGAAGCCAACCCAGATGATTTTATCCATCTTACCCGATACCATTATTCACAGATCTTAATCTTGATAGAAGATTGAAAAAATTATCAATGGTCGACCTTTTCAGTACTTAGATTTACACCACGGACTGCTAAATTATCAGTAGATAATAAACCTACGAAATAAAATACTCATTTTATTAATCCCTGAACGTAAATTGAATATTAGAAGATATTCGAAATATTATTGAATACTGCCCCGAAACCAAATTTTGTTAAAAGTCTATGACGAAAAATTAATTTATCTGAAAATAGCATAATGAAAGCTATAGAACTTTGATGACAAAATTCGAACCTATCATGCAATATCCAAGGGTCAGAGAATACATTTTTATGAACTAATAGTACTTCAGAGTCAACAGGTATCTTCAGCTACAACGATAACAGAAGAAACATCCAATAACATGCAGCGATATCAGCCTGGAGAAGCCGGACGCATGGTTTAGGAGTTGGTTTGAGGAAGAGGAAGACATTGGGGCAGGTCAGGGCTAATTATTTAGATAGGAAGGGGGTGCTTTACTGGAAGGGGAGGCTATAGGAACCTAATGCTGCCATAAATCCTGGCCAGGCGATTTGTATGTAAAGCCGGTCGGACCTCCATCTATCTGATAAGTCATAACGTAATCTTTACTTCCCGCGCTCCTATTTTAGCCACTCAATATTTCAATCTTTATATACATAAAATATACATAAACAATTTCAATTAGAAACACAAGTATTCCATGAATAGTGACTAAATTAATGGGGCCTTATATATATTTTTAAGTCAGCTGTTGTTTCTCTATTTAATGGTAGATATCTCAAAGGTGCACCAACCCTTTCTAAGTGTAAGAGTTGGTCAAGAACTAGGATTGCAATGATAAACCCCCACTAATTCCTTCCACCCGTACACAAAAGCTTCGTAGTACGGGTAGTTATCCTTATTTACTAGCTGAGGGAAATCATCCTCCGTGGTGATGTACAGTCCGAATTCCACTCATTGTCTCAAAAGCGGCGAGAGTCGTGACTACACGCTAAGCAGGTTCCGGAATACCACAGCAGGGAAATAAGGGATTAATTTCCTTTCTATAGGCAAAAAGCTTGGTGCAAAACCTTCCAAGCCCTCTAAGAAATTGTAACATCCAATGATCAGGGAGGACTTCGCTTCCAACCATGAATATACGCTAGGAAAGTATTTTCTCAAGATAGAGCCTTTATGAGTAGTTTACTACCGTCGATTCTACTGCTGAATGGTGACCTCTCGTATTACTCTTTTCCATTTAGATGGATTTACCTAAGTTGTCGACATATACCATGGAAGGGAACCACTCCTCTTCGAGTACCCCCTGCAACTCATCGAAAACTAATTTCCAAAGGGCAGGTCCAAGGATAGAGCCCTGCGGGCATCCTCTTTCTAAGCTTTCATGGAATTTATAGACGTTACCTCTGATCTCTTCGATCCTCCAGGTAACTTCTCATTAGTTCATAGAAGATATCTTTCTACTTAATGCATTTGACATAAAACTGAAATCAGCAAAAGATGCTTATTCCTAAATACAATATAATATTATCGAGGTAGCTTATCCCTCAAGAAAATCGTTAAGCCATAACGTACAGCTATCTCTGAATAATACTAATTCATTACTGTACCCATTCAAGACCTATTTGTTTGGAAGCCTATGGCTGCGAGCCTATTAGTGCGAAACAGACCTGAATGTATTTATTTAAAAATATATTATTCTAAGTGAAGAATAGATCAAGAGAGCTTTTCTCCTCCATTTACCTTTTCAAAAGAATTTTAGTTCGTCGAAGATTATCATAAATTACAATACTTTAATATACTACCGTATTATATATAGTGTATATTACCGAAATGAAACAATTAATTACAATATTGTGGATCAAACAACAAAAAAAAAAAAATCAATAATAAACATGCATACGCATTTGAACGGAAAGATTAAAAATTTTCCACTTCATTACGACTAATCCCTTTTGCTCAATTATCACAAATTATTATCCAAAATAAAACAGCCAAGCATTTACAAAGGGATCGTTCGGCGCTTTATTAGCAGATGGAGAAGCTGGACAATGGGACAGTTGGAACGAGGCAGTGGGATCCTCTCCATTACGGGATTATCGCTAATCGCCTTCATCGGGATTTAATGAACAATCGGCCATCGTGGGCACACCTCGCCTGCTTCATCTCCATTGGCTGTTAGCTAAGGTTTTTCATGCTGATTGGAATCGATTGGCCCACCGCTGACCGCTGATCCTGAAGGAAACCCCAATTGGATTGCAGGCACGTACCGCCCTGGGAGGTTCGGTTAGGTCCAATGTCCTTCCCAATGCCAATCTATTTAGTTGTATGTAATATGTGTTGGAAACGGAGAAGCAGAATAGTTTAAATCTCATATTACCTGGAATAAATTAAAAGTTATCAGCATGAGTAGTAACGAATAAATTATTTACGAAAACGTAAAAAGGTATTCTTCCATAGCAGAGGTGGTCGAGTCCCACATCAAATAGTTGTCATATAACGCAACACATGCAAGAACACTGGCGTGACAACAATTTAGATTTTCCCTGATCGAATTTTCGTAATAATTATGTACATAGTTTTATAACAGAATCTGATAAGATTATCGTACTTAACATGGTTGCTTTATCAAGATAAAATTAAGGAAAAATTAGGTAATTTGATATGTAAAAACTTCCATCTTTAGAAGAAAGGGGAATAAATACCCAATGCACATAGTTCGCCTGAGTAGCATTTAGTATACTGGGCAGCAGTGCATTAATAGAACGGGCAGCACATTAAAGTTTAATGGATGTTTAAATTGATCTATATTTTCAAAGGAGTTACCCGTAGAAATCGATTAATGGTTATAATGGAAATTGTATTTATTAAAAAAGCAGCATTTAAAGAATTACCAGGATTCGTTTAATTGTATACTGTTCCTGATTAATTTGTATGGATGGTGCATGGGAAGAGATAGACATAAACAATCGGTTGTTCTTCTAGTTGGGAAGAGAATGGGTACAGCAACGATAAAAAAAATCGAACTTCGCAAGTAAATAGACCAGTAATATAGAGTAATTAATATCGTATTTTTTTTAATTATGAGATTATAATCGTTTACAATTATCAGGTGAATCTTGGTTCAAATCATCATTCCATTAATGTAATGTTCTAAATTTGTTTCTCAGTTATATAGACATATAAATGACATACTCTTACTGTGGCGTCACTATTTATATATTGTCCAATAATCAGACGATTCAAGATTCGAGACCCACCTTCAGGTTGTCAATAGGCAATGTCCTTAAAATATCATTATATATAAGTAGTTAGCAGAAATATATTAGTATTTTACAATTAAAATGTCAGTAAATAGAGAGGGAAAAATAACAGAGCAAAAGAGTATTTTTATATACTTTTTTCAAACCTTTAAATACTTTAAGATGGATTTCTTACATAATTTATCAGAAGCGATCTTGTCCCTAGCCCGTCATAAACCTGACAGACATATCTGTTATTTACTAAAATAAGAGAATGGAAGTCCAAATTTAAAGAAATAAAATACGAAAAATGGAGAAACAGTAGCAATTACTCTATAATACATGCTCACATATAGTGTACTATCTTTTACCATCCTGCTATGGATGCTCTACCCACTTTCTTTCGAAACATCTTGTCCACACTTAAAAGTGACCAGGCTAACCAGTATATCCAATCATATTAGTCTCTCCTAAAAGTCTCCTCTCAGGTGTGAATGAGGTATTAGATACATGAACAAAAGACTTCCCTAGAGAGAGAATAAAAAAAAGAGAGAATAGCTAATATTACAGCTCTCGAGAGAAGCTTGAAAACTGCAAACAGACAGCAATCATACGGGATCGAGAACCGAGGAGGAACTGTTTTGGCTGATGGTGCAGATTCACATCGACAAGAGGGATAGTTAATACGCAGCTGAGAGGAGTGGGATTTGCATTTATATACCCGCCCTGTCACCTCGCCAGGGGGCTGATGGGAAGGTGGTAAATTAGTTTTATCACTCAAAAGCAGCTGTTTAATAGAACGGAAGGGGCCGCATCAGCCACATCTTCCTACTTAACGAGCCAAACTTTCTTCTCAGTTCCAGGGCTGACCTCATTAAAAGTTAATTACCATAACCCGTCTCACCTGACAGGGACGGAATTCAACTTCAAGGGATCACACATTCATTACATTATCGGACCTCTGTTGCCTACCGGCCCAAATTATAATTTTTACAGCAGATTACAGCGATCAAGAATCAACTACAGTGGATTTAACGTGACAGAAGGGGAAGAAAATATCAAATTAATAAAGATGTTGCAGAACTACGTCCAAAATAGAGGAAAAGAATGAAGGTTAGTTTTAGATGGAAAACAGAATATATATATATATGATCATATATATATATATATATATATATATATATATATATATATATATATATATATATATATATATATATATATATATGAAATAACAGTAGTTTTTTTATTTGCCAATGAAATGTCTGTACAAATAAAAACCTAGATTTTATGAACAATATTAAATTTTGAGTCTAGTTCGGTGTTCAAACATAACATTAACAAAATTCATAGCATAAAATATGACTCATAACGAATTAGCAACAATACATATAAATATATAATTGATAATACAACTTTTAGTTATATATTTTTTTATATAAATATTTTAAGGGTATTAAATAAATTACAATATAAATATGCATTAACAGTTTTCTATAGTGATCATTTATACTACTTTACAGTTCATTGGACATCCTTTTATAAAATAATATATTTGATTTAATTTTTCGACGCTGTCAATCTTCAATATATCTTCTACGATAATGTCGTCACTCGACTCAACATAAAATGTCTTTAAAAACTTATATATTTATTTGTATGTAACATTTATTCATCGTTAATCGACAAGCCTGACTATTAAGAACCGGTTCTATATATGTTTATATGTGAAATATGAAGTTATTAGAACAGAATCTCTATTATATAAAAAAGTTTTTAGTGACCAATATTTTTTTTTTACATATAAGATGGAATGTCCGCAAAGCACAGCCGTCGTGCGGGTTTCCGGATAGTGCGCCCTAATCTGGTGATTTGTTTAAAACTATAAAAAGGATATTTTTTTTTATTCATTTATTTATTTTTTTTATTGAATTTCTGTCTTTCACACCTTTTTCATGATTTTATTGTAACTATTTCATTAAATATATATATATATATATATATATATATATATATATATATATATATACTACAAGCTCTGTCCTTGTACTGTGCGACAGCATTTTACGGAAAGGAAATATCTTTTAACTTAAGGAAATAACAGGTCTTTTTAGTTCTAAATATGTTAACAAATTTCGGTTCATTGGTTTAGGTGAGAAAAACCAAAAAAACATAAAATACATAAAAAGTGTTCAATATAAAAATAAAAATAACTGATATATCAAGGGTCGAGGTCAAAGATAATAGTCTAAAGTACAGGCTTCTCTTTTTGAATTATTAACATCCGTCTAAAGCATGGCTTCATCTTATCGTAACCGACAAAATTTTATTTACGAAAATTCTTAGAAATGGAATATTTTCAATCTGAATATCGGTAAACTATGTCTATATTTAATGAGGTACAAAAACTCATGAATAACCATTTGCTTTTCACCTTAATCTATGATAATTTGATCACAAACTTGAGAAAAGAGATAGCCTACAAAAATACTGGGCCGTTTGGAGTGACCACCACCAATGACAATGTCAAAATAACAAGGTTATAAACGACAAATGTCTCAATATTTTTTTAAGTCACAATTTTCCTCGATTTTGTTATCAAATTGGAAAGCAAGTGTATTCATGAGATTTTTATACCTCATTAACTTAATTAATTTAATGAGAAAACGCCGCATTTTTTTGAGAATTTTCGTTGATGAAATAGTTGCAGGTTACGATAAGATGAAACCATTCGCGAAGTTTTAGACGGATGTTAATAAAATAATAACTAATGTTCAAATTCGAAAACACTTGGCTTTTCTACTGACCTGGTGAAAGTTGAGGTACCCAGTTTCTATTGAATCGATCCTAGTTGATGATCTTCCAAGAGAGATCCCCTCGAGGGCTCAACTCCAAAGTGAATTTCCGATCGGCCAACTCGGGACCAAGAACCTGACTAGTTAGTACCTTTATCTCTACAAAGCCCCCTCCTTCACCACCTCAAATTAACCTTTGTTAAGGAAGGGTTTGGAGCGGTCGCAAATAGTAAAAAGATAACTAATAATCTAATTTCCAACTTATTCCGAAACATAATTATTTAATTATTCCCAAATTAGTGAGTTTTTGCCTAAAGGTATTATTTTGGTACTGGTACTGCCCTAGGAAGCGACGGCTGGCGGTTGAGCACTGCTTTAGTGGAAACCGATTTCGTTGGCACTGCTCAGCATTCTAGGTATGACGACATATCTAGACTGCTCCTTTTGGACCGCTTATGGAGCAGTGAATCTGTTGGCAGTCCGGTAGTCATAGGTTATTTTATCATATCGGAGTAATGTTTTTATGATAACATTAACGTTGATACGTTTCATTTCCTCTTTTTTTCATCAAGTCAGGCAAAATTAAATGAAATATTGTTTAAAATTTAAACGAAGCTATAATAAATCATTTTGTAAAGGTTGAATGAACATGATTATTTATTTCACCAAAATTATTTTACAGAGGAATTCACCTAGATTCAATGACATTAACTAATAAAAAATTATATTCAGATGAATCTAGACATTGACAAATCAATTTGTATTTTTTAATTAATTTGTTCTTTAAATAAGTAACTATTGATAAAACAATAAAACATTTCCAGATGAGATTGAATTAAAAATTTATACTTATTACTAATAATCAATTAAAAAAATTATTATTACTTATCAAACAAATAATATGTAATAAATAAGAAATCAGGAATACATCCCCAATTCTTAAAATAATATTTCGTCATATTCTTTCTAATATTAATATTCAAAATATTACAAGAAACAGTAATTTTGTTTAGTTATGGTGGGAATTAATATTCATACGTAGATAATTGTTAACATTTCATAGTACAGACATATATTAGGATGCTTAAGATGCGCGCGCTCTCCTTGTTCTCAAGGTAAGGAAAGAATGTTGGCACTGTGCACGAATCTCTTCAGTAAGTTTTTTCTGATAAGAATTTGATGATTGTCTCGTAAGGCTTTGACAGGAATATAAGAGGCTTTAGGTCCGTATGATGAGATGATTGTTAATGAATAATTGTACTAATTGAGTACATCCCACAAATATCAATTCGGTAATCATTGAAATCGCTTTTGTACCAAATATAAGATCATACTCAAATGAGATCTCGTTGGATTCAGAATTAGCGAATCGTGCGTTCAGTTTGTTTTCTTCCAAAAAAAAAAATAAATAAATAAAATAAATAAATAAATAAGTGGAACATTTCTTAGACTTTAAACCTGTGACAGAGGAAAGTCGCGAGGATCAGAATGGAACCCAATAAGGATTTGAGGATTTCAGTGCGAACATCAAGAACTCTTAAGATTCTATCGGAACGTTTATGCACAGCGTTTTTAAGTTCTAAAATATTTTAGAGATTTTAGTAAACGGTTATGAGATATTAGTAAATGGTAGTTTAGGCACAGCGTTTTTAAATTCTAAAATATTTCAGAGATATTAGTAAATGGTTTGCAGCCAAACAACCTCACTTTAATTGCAGCAATACCATGGCATACATATCGCACGTCGTTGATTAGTTCCTAAGAACGGAAGAGGAGAGGATTATACATGTATTATTTCTTATCAACAACTTTTTTTAAGAGTTTTATGAATTATTCGATTAGCCTTCTAATTATCAAATGAAATATTCCTGAATATGTGTAGTTTTTCAGATTATTTGAAAAAAAAAAAAACTAGAACCAGAGCTGTATCGTAGTTTGATAATGATAATTCGAAAGGGTCCTAAATACTCAACGGGGGAAAAAAATGAAATCGAACCATCATTAGTTTAGATACAGCCTATTGAAATTTGATATTGATACAGGAAAAAACAAATAGAAGGAGAAATTAATGTTAAGAGAAAGGAGAGAAATGATCGTTATCTTTTGGTGTTTAAACTACTTAGCTCACACCTCCTATCCGAAACTTAAAAAATAAAATATATTAAACCATAATCCTACCAACGGTTCTTTATGAATGACAAACGTGACGACTTACATTAAGAGGTGAGCGATGTCTTAACATTCTATAAAATAAAGTATTGCATAGAATATTAAGACAAAACAAGGACGAGCAAGTCTGAGAATTTAGACGGTTACGCAACACTGAATTGCGTGAACTGTATCCGATTAATATTATTAAGGGGATTAAGTTGCGGCGAATAAAATGGTGCGTGTAAAATTGTTAGGTTTATTAACGAATGAATAAAAAAAAAGTTACTATACGCAGTTCCGACTTGTAAACGTGCGAGGGTTTGACCGATCGAAGGTGGTGGAAAGATTGAGTTGAAGGCTTCAACTTAAAGCTGATATGGTGGAGATGAGCAGACAACGGTTAGTACTGTCAGCAACGTATCTTCGGGTTCGTGAAGCTTTTTATTATTATTTTATCATTTGGATATTATTATTACGTTTTTAAATTTATGTTTAAGAAAACTTGATCGACACCAAATATTGGATGGGATATTAAATCCGAACGCCACATAGCACACCTTTATTAAATTGTAAATTAAATAAAAATGCCGACCTAGATATTGATAATGATCGCCGATGTCACCTTGATAAAATGTGAGAGCGCGCTTTAAAATCGTTTTTTAGGATCTCGGGATCATCAAACGCTTTGAGATGTAGGGGCCATTTATTGAACCTGTTGTCTTTGACCCCTCGTGTATCGCACAAAGGAGAGTCCGCTCAAATTGGATTCCCTTGACAAACATCAATTGTGCACTCTCAAGCTATGTAAAGTCTGTCCCGCTCTCATCATTTCTCTGTATCGGTGTAATACACACATAACGGCTGAGCACATGCACTAAGTTCCATTCAAAGGAATACAGACTAATTTTAACGAGATTTTTTCGGAAAATGAATCAACTTTGGGATGGAAATTTTGAATTTACTCCTACAACACTTGACTAGTTAGTATAAGATTTGTTTGTTACCAGGCAATTATTTCGTTTTTTATTGAGTAATATTACATTCTGTCACAATCAAGTGCATGAACTAGCTTTATCAATCTCTTAAATCCATTGGTGTTTTTATCCTAGATTGAAATACCCAATTTTCATGTGGTGATTGAGAGGCAACCTTTTTCTCTCTTAAAGGATCATAAGAGGTATAAAATAAAATAAATAGGTATTAGGAGAGGATGGTATTAAGTTTAAAGGCTATTATTAAAGAGACAATCTGTATTCAAACATTATGAAATTTGAATTCGCGTGATAAAATAAGGGTTAAAATAAAACATCAACTTTTAAGCCTACCTTATTATTACTGAATCATTGAATCAGTACTATTGAAGAAATATCATTCAACGCGGTATATATATTACAAATGTCAATATAATTATTACAATATATCCCTCAGACAGTCAATATATTTAATACTGATCGTGAAAGAGCCACTTAAGGGATTACTGAAAAATTTTAAAACAATTTAAATTTTTGCTATTGTCTTCAGCCTTCAAATCGGGCTAAATATCACAATTATTAATGTTGATGTCTCTATCAACAATTTAGCTCTTAGGAATTTAGGAGGCTAAAAATAGTCTCAACTCAATTTTTTGGGAAGGCATCCAGCGCGATATTGATGCCCAGTTTATATTAATAGCCATTTGTAATCACTTCACGAAAATGTTTCGAAAGAAGTAAAAATCATATCTTATATTGCTCGTTATTTAAAACAATATATATTATTAGATGAAACAATGCTTAGGAGGAAAAATTAACTTATAGCTCTGATCAAAGAAAGTAATTTAAAATTATTTAACTCGGTTCGCTGAATTTATAAAGAACATAAAAGAATTGCAATAAATTTTCATGATTTAATTTAATTTTATTCATAATACTTTTTTAAATATTTTATCTTATATTTAAGTTCTCATATTATAATAATAACATTCTTTTAATTTTTAATGTTAAAGTAAATGTTTTTAATTAAATTTAAAAACAAAGAATAGTCATTACTGTATTTAAGTACATTAAGCAATATTAAAAATTTGAAATATTTTTCAAAATTTTTATTCTAGTAATGAGCAGGCAATCGTTTAAACACAGTTTTTCATCTTATAATTTTGTCAAACTACTATTCTCTCTTTGGACTGTGTTATTGACAGATTCTTGTGTATTTGAGTAAGAATGAAATTAAAAAAAGAAAAAAAAAAGTTGTACTGACCTAAAGCAAAGCCGTCCTTAGTCCATTGTACCTGACCAGCAAGGTGTGTAATCTCACACTGCAGCGTAGCTTCCCCGCCTTCTTGAACTTTGACATCTTTAGGTTGCAACCTGAAGTACTGTTGCTGGCATGATCCTGGAACCAGAAATTGAGGTATAAACAAAGGTTACTACATTTTAAATCCATACACACATAATACATAATATGTAAAAACCAAATAAAATATAAAAACCGGCTCCTGAATATAAAGGGGGTCCTCCCAAAAGGTAAAAATTTAAAGGGAAGATTACTATATGTTTTTTACAGCCGTCGAATATATTATATTTATGATTTGTTTGTCATTAATCATTTACTTTTACGGCTCTAAATTTGAATTATTTATTTGATTATAACAAATAGTTAAGTGGCACGAAATATTTTTAGTCCGACAAGAGTAAATATTTATTTACCTATGCATTTCATAATAGGTATATTTATTTGTTTAAAGCATTGGTATATAAGGCGATAATGACCCTTGTGGTTGGTACCTTTAAAATATATTTTAAAAAAACACATTGGTATATATACAAATATTAATTTTTATATTCATATGGGCTTGTTTTAGGTGAAAATTTTCCAATATTATAAAATAAGGCTGTGTTTATTTCTTCACCATATTTATTTCAGTTTACATAGCTACGTTAATCTGACTTCGGACTACATGCAAAAAGCATGGTTGGATAAATGGCTTGAAGATGGCTTACCGGCCGAAACTAGCTATGTAAATTGAAATAAATATGGTGAAGAAATAAACACAGCCTTATTTCATAGTTTTTATATTGCTTCAACCCATAGAATTAAATATTAAATAATAATCTAATCTCCCCCTTATTTTAGGAAATATTTGTGATTCAATGCTCTGTCACTCAAGAATACCTTTATTTTGTAGCTAAAACAAGAATGATAAATTATAACAAAGTTTTAATTTCTTTTTTCCAGTATTCTGGTGGATATATTTTAATAAACTAAGAAAATACCTTTTTATTTATTAACAAGTATGTTAACAAAATAATAATTTTACAAAAATTAACCACCTAAAAAAGAAATGGTCCATTGTTTTTTTACACAGATCTCTATTATGGTAATCACTCCTTAATTTTACGTAACCATTATAAGTTAGCAACTAAGTGTTTTAGATCCTAATATTTACGTTTTCATGAAAATTAATCAAGCCACGGTAGAGGTTAATTTTTTTTTTTTTTAGTAGTAATTTTAGAAATGTTAATTTACAATGATGAGTTATTTAATTGACACTGATGTCTCCTATGTTGCATGAAGAATATTATTTGGACGATTATGGCTATTTCTAATGTAATGTCTTAAAATAAAATAAGTCATTTTAACTCAAACTATGAAAACGTAAGGACAAAAAGAATGAAGTTTCCAAGTTATTATCTTCTTTTAAATTATTTTCACTCTAGAGTACATCGACTTTCGTGAGCAATAATTAATTAGATGAATCATGAATTTTTTTTGCATTATTAAACAGCAATATTATCTATCGCTTTAAGTAAATAGTTAATTCTTTTGTATCCTTTACAATTGTATAAAATGAACTTCACAGTAAAACATTAATAATAGCTATAACTACAAACATTACTACAAGAAAAATTGAACTAAAAAAAAAATGGAATTATGGCGCATTAAATAAGAAGGATAATTATTGGGCTTCGTTAGCGAAATGTACGGATATGTATGATTTTTTTTTTTTTAATTTACTAAGGAATTTTCTTTTAATTTACCAAGATATATACCTAGTTCTGCCACAAATATATTTACAAAAGTTGAACTTTGTTCATATCGTTGGATATTATTTAGATAATCCTCACCCCTGTCAGGTTATTTTTATTACATGCCAGGATAATAATCCTAATTAGTTTGTTTATTTCTTTCGCTCAATTAACATGGAGTGGGGTGATAAAAGAAAACTGAATAGCTGTACAATGCATACTAAACAATATCAATGCAATAATTAACTGAGATCTCTCGACCGGATAGATACTCCTATTGACAGGCGTGCGATCAGTTTGATTCTTATTCCGTAAGGTTCTTAGCTCAATTCTTTGAAATGGCTGTACACTTTTTACTTGAGCATTATTTTACAAATCGCAAACTCCGCAATACACCGGATTGATTTTAAGATTCTCCCCGTCAGACAGAGTTGCTATAGTGGCCCAGTTGCAGTAAACTAATAAACCCTAGACAAATAGTACAATTGACTTGGGCTCCTGTCAGCACGTCCTGGTTAACTTGTCTATGCCCGAGACGTGGTTGTAGTGACTAAGTTATCAAGGGTAGATAATTTTGTCACGTTAGCAGAAGACTGGAAACAATATATAATTTAAATATCTTTTGTCGAAATTTAAAACCATTCAGTCAATAAATTAAATATATGTTATTATAAAGTGATATATATATATATATATATATATATATATATATATATATATATATATATACCTAGTCCTATCATAAATATTGTTTCAAGGAAATATACACAGGTTTCAACAGAAAATTTAATTTTTTAAAAAGTTTAATAGAAAATAAAATGTATATCACAAGATACTCCCATGTCTCTCACCACTACGCTGAGCTAAAGTGGCTTTTCCCCTCCTTCCGAAGACAATATTTCCTAGGTACGTTCCTCTACCAAATCATCAACAACCATCGTCCTTCTTCCGCCTACAACCTTCTCCAGTTCAAATCCCTGTCCCTGTCCACAAGATCTCGACCTTCTAACCTTTACATGCCTTCCCACAGATCTACCTCATTCCAAAACTCCGGTAATACTCGCTCTGTCAGTTTCTGAAATTCCCTCCCTATAAAAATTTGACATCCCCCATCCATATGCACATTCAAAACCCTCCTATTCCAATTCCTAACCCAAAAACAGATAGTTGTTAACCATTCGACAACATACATTTATTTCATGTCATTCATTGTCAAATATCAATGCTAAATGATAATGTATTTATAAACTAATCAGGCACTTTATTTCAGATTCAGATTAATCAGATTCAGCTTTCTGTTGTCTCAACAGAAACACAAAGCTGATTTTAATATATTTCTATTTTTTAATTCATTATTGTTTTCTTAATCTATCAGTGCAAATAGCTTTAAGTGTCTTGTCATAGTGTTTTTTTGTGTATAGTTTCGTTTGTTTTTTATATAGAATGTTTACCTTATATTTTCTTTAAATAATTTCTTTTTTCGATTGATTTTATTTTGGCCAGATGTAATATTTTAATTTTGTTCTATTTTGTTATTCTCAATGGACTGTGTCTCAGAAGAAAGTTATTTTCTATCTATATCTATAGAAGGTAAAAAAAAAAAAGAAATTACTCAAAATGTTACCCCCTTTTGCTTTGACACATGCGTTTAATCTTCGTGGCCAGTCATCAATACGCAGCACTTCCCGAGGAAAGCGTTCAACTAGTTAAAAACAGTTTTAAATAATCTAATTGATAATTATATGGAATAATTATTTATGAAAATCGAATTACTTTTAACTTGAAACAGCCGAAGTTAATCATAATTTCACTCCGTATATTTTATTTTATGGTTAATTCATACATAATTTGAACAGATATAGAGTTCTCAAGTTAATTTAAACTTTTACGTAGGGCAGATAACAAAACATCTCAAGTTGAGAATATATAATAGTTTATGTTTATAATTAATTAATACTTTCAATTTATGCTAACACTTTCAACAGGAATACATTTTAGAAGTATTACGGAAGAGAATAAATTATGTTCACAAACAATAGCAGGCCTAATGAGAGACATGAAACTCTAAGGGAACATTAGCGAAATATCAGGGGCCTTAGTCCCCAGCTTCGGGTTAATCCTATCTAGAAAGTTCCACGGCGAAGTAGGGAACAAAGTCCCTCCGTCGGAAAAAAATGGAATAACTTTTGTTTAGGAAATTCGAAAGGAGTAGAATTTAATTAAATCCTGGAATTAGGAGACATTCAACGTCGGATATAATACATATGTATCATCATTCTGTAATAAAATTGACGAAAACAAAGCTTTCCAATTATAAAAAATTCATTTATCTTAGCAGAAAAGGAAGAACAATTTAAAAAAGTGTGTTTAAAATTAGGTGTTCAAGCGATGAAATATGAAAATAAATAGTTAAAACCCTGGTATCGGTTTTTTTCCGTGTTATCCTCTATTTTCGAGAATATAAGAATAAGTTTCTAAATTCAGCGCTGAGCTCATCATTGTCATTGGGAATACATCAGACCGTTTCTTAACACACTGTTGGAAACCATAGATGGAATAACCGATAGTTCAGCAGTTCCATTGGTTTTTGAGTAGATTTATCCGTTGTATGTAACCTCTTTAACACTACTGTTGATATTTTTTAATTACTTTACATAGCACTCTTGCTCAATCTCCACCGGGTTAAGCCCCAGTGTTGCGGTTGAGAAAGAACTGCAGGGATCTCCTGGAGTCATGCTTTTCCCTCCACAGTTGGAGGGACAAGTCTGGCTCGGAGTTTTCTCTCCAGATTTTAAATAGTGTATATAGGTATCTATGTGTTCTTTTTATTTATTTATTTTTAGGTTATTTTATTTATTGTACATAGAGTGTGAATGTGATCTCGGAACACTATTATAAATGTCCTTGGAGACAGATTGTAATATTTTTCAATAAATAAGTTTAAAAAAAATACTTTACACATTTATAATCTAATCATAATATTTTAACTATATTAACTTTTATTTTGTAATTCAACAATTAAGCAGGTAAGTATTCCCTTACATATTTTCTATTTCTCATAGCTTTTATAACCTTTCAGGAGTGTAAACCATCTGCTGCAATCCATCAGGTCATTCCTAAACTGAGCATAGTCGTAGCAGGATTTAATCGATTAATAAAATGTAATTAGCGCTGAGTTAAGGAAATTGCCCTATCCTTGGGTCAGATTTCATTCAAGCACTAACAATAAATCACATAGTAAAAATGACCAAGTTGCAGACTATTCTCAACATCATACATTTAGATAATATATTGCTAACTGCAATTACTAAACGTTAGAATACACGTAATAGGCGCCATAAAACTACAATTAGGTACTATAATTATAGTTTTAATCTCATTATAAAGATCGTTAAAATACTAATAATTTTTAATTAAATTAATTTATTGGAATTTTAGAAAAATATTAA